TGATCATGTATAAGTTAGACATATGGATTCATATGTGCTGCAAATATATCTATGAATGAAGCAGAGCACACAGGGACCAAGTTATAAAATTGTCTTATCCCATTCTACAACAGTGGGACTATGCAATATTTGTCTTTTTGTGACTGAGATATTTCACTCAGAATAATGTCCTTCAGGGTCACCCATTTTGAATAATATTGCATGAGTTTCTTGTTTTTCAATGCAGCATAACATTCCATTGTGTGACATCTGGGTTAGGGTAAGACTGAGAAAAACTGGATAAATTATGTATACTGCATTGAAATAGATGAGGGAGAGAACAGTTTAAAAGTGATATACGATAGAGTATTATGGTTATGACAAGAGTCCAGAATGAAGGTTGCACAGTGGAGTGTCCTCACGGAGAGGGGGATTATATACCAATGAAGGAATTTTTCTTTTACTTTTCAAAGAGAAGAGTAAACTGGAGGGGAGAGGTAGGCAGGGAGAAAAGTGCAGCAATGAATGAATAGAAATCCAAAACCTCTGTAAATGTTCATTAAAATTAATAATTTTTTTTAAAATGTCTTATCCATGACCTCAAAGAAAAGAAGAGTTTCTAGAACTGGGAACTCAGAACTATAGGGTCAGGAGACATCAAGTTCAACGGCATAACAGTTCACAAAGACAAGCTTCTGCATCCTATTTTGAGTAGTGGTTGGGATCTGAGAAGCTTCTGAGTAGCCATCTAAGATGTAACCACTGCTCTTGTCTCATGCAAAGAGCAGTGAAGACCATGTGAAGATGCAAACAAACAATCATTCCAAACAATTAATGGACCATGCAAAGCTCAGCTTCCCTAACCCTGAGGCCAGAAGAACGAGATGGTACCTATCTAATACTGTCCACCACTCTGAGAAGGATCACAACAGAGAATGGATGGCTCCTGGTGCAGAACTGTTGCTCAGTTTAAGGCCACGGACTGGTCTAAAGGCATGCAGGTGCCTTCTGTCTGTTCAGAAGTTCCCCTTGAAGACTTGAGTGCTCAGCCTACAACCAAAAGACCACCACTCTGCAGACCCCACTCCTTAGGCAGCAGAATAGGTTGAAATCACCACCAAATCATCTTAAACTGTCTCGTCACTTTTAAAAAAAGTGGAAATAAGATTGATGGATAATAAATGTTTCTTTTAAAAAGATTTCTTATATACCCTTTACTCCTCCTTTAAGCCTCAAAATGAACCTCATGGTCAACAGAGAAAGACTGACCTTGTCAACAGTTTTATTCTACGTGGATCTATAATCACTGTTCGTGGAAGTGGCAGTCAAGAAATAAGATGATTTCTTGCATTAAGCAATCATGATCCAAGGACTTGAAGTGTTCTAAAGCAAATACATAATTTTGAGGACTAAGATGCATCTGACCAGTGCACAGGTATGTCGTTCGAATCCATCAGCTGCTCTGTCTGTGGGAGAAAGATGGGAACGCTCCTCCTGTGAAATTTACTGCCTCTGAAAACCCACTGAAGAGTCCACTATGAGTTGGTTCTGATATAATGATACACAACAGCAAATACATAGATATTGATATATGTATTTGTATGAATATGCATATATATATGAAAGTTGGAGAATGAATAAGAAAGAAGAATTCTGATGCATTTGAGCCATGGTGTTGGCAAAAAAATATTGAATAGACCATGGACTTCCAGAAGAATAGACAAATCTTTCAGAAGAAGTAGATCTTGAATATTCCTTAGAAATGAGGATGATGAGAAGAAGGCATCTTTCTAGCTTGGAAGGAGTACGTCTGTCCTGGAATACTCGCAGTCAGAAGCTCCTTAGATGCAAGCATGGAGATGCTTCCTTTCCTCTTCTCTGGACATGTTATCAGGAAGGCTCTGTCCCTGGAGGAGGGCATCATGTTTGGGAAAGTAGAACGTCGGCGGGAAAGAGGAGGACCCTCAACGAAATGGACTGGGAACAGCTGCATCAACAGGCTGAGGCAGATAAATTCTGAAGGTGGAACAACACTCCACAGAGTTTCGTTCTGTTGTAAACAGAGTCACTAGGAGTCAAATCTGATTGAAGGGTGCCTAACAACACCCACTAAGGGTCATTAAATATTTGAGCATCATCTGATATGGACACTTTTATATATCAAGAATATATACAAATCTACCAATATAGTCAAGAGATTCTCAAATTAAATCTAGTTTGTGGATCTTAGATATGTACTTCAAGGCTGTTGCTCAGAACTTACAACGTAATTCTCCAGAGAAATTATGGTGTAAAATTTAGACTCATAAGGTGGCCAAGCCAATTTACCTTAGTATGTATGTGAGATACCTAATTACCATATAGAGGTCATTTCTATGGCCAAAAGACAGTCCATATTTCAAAATAGCATCTCAGGGACATACTTTTCCCCCATAGTGGCAAAATGTGCCCACACTCATGAAGATAGGAGATGCGCGAGGTCTTGGTACTATCTATAGTCTAGCGTCTTCTCTACATATACTCAAGAGAAAGTAGTTTTGTTTATTCTCTTTTTTAAAAAGTTCTAGACCAGTGTTCCACACATCAGAATTAAAAGAAGTACTTATAAAAACCTGCCAGTGCCCTGTCCCCACCTTGGTCCAATTAAACTCAGATCTTTGGGGTCTAGGGCCTTAGCAATGACAACATTCATAAGCTTTGAGATTATTTCCAAGTGCTTTGGGAGTGAGGACTACAGGCTAACTCTCTCTCCACCCTTCTCTGTGCATTCCTTTTATGTAAGTTCAGGCTCTAGGCTCACAGAGTGGAAAGACAGCCACATGAGAAACCCACACTTTCTTGAGAATCGTTCCAAACACACTGGCTGATAGGAAAGACTGATTGGAGCCAGATGAGAGCAGTGATTTGGCTCTCTGTATTTTACCAAAGTAGTAATGAGATGCCCCCGGTCCCTGAAGAAGGACATCATGCTTGAAGTAGCAGGTCACCAGAAAAGCCCCTCATTGAGATGAACTCACACACTGAGTGGCTGCTATAACGGGCTCGTAGCAGCAATTGTGAAGATGCAGCGGGGCTGAGTAGTGCTTCTTCCTGTTGTGCACAGGGTCTCTGTGACTCAGAACCAGTTCCGTACATTCAGCTACAACTAACCTTCCGTCCTGATCAGCTGGGTAAAGAGAGCAAAGAAGATCATTATGGTTCCTCACCCCCAGACAGTCTCAAGAGGAAATACTTTCCGATTCAGAAAGGTAGGTGGCAAAGTGAATGGTCATACACGCTGAGCCAACAACACCCTCTCCTCACTGGACAATGATGACAACAGCAGCTCCAGAGCAGGTGAAGCTGGTATTGAATCAAGCTGGACTCTTGGAAGGGAATATGAAGAAATGGACAGCAGGGCCACACTCACACTAGGCAATCACAACAAGCTACAGTCAAAAGCAAAAAGGAGCAGTGCAGTCAGAGATAAAAACATGACTGACTTGAAAATCTAAAAGGAGAGAGAGAGAGGAGAAAGAGGGGAGGGAGAGAGAGGAGAAAGAGAGAGGAGAAGGGGAGAGAG